TGGGGGAAGGAGAGGTGAATTTAACTCTTTCCCCTTCACAGCAGTGCCACTGAAAATCCCCATCCTCCCTGACTGTTGAACATGCTGGCTGGAGCTGATAGGATCTGGGCATAGCTCAGTTTAACCCTCTTAATCTCGAGATCATGGGTCTGAGCCCCACATTGATCCCTGCACTGCAGGGGTTGGACTAGATGATCCAACTGTATAATTCTATGATTCCAATAACATCTAGATCAGACATAGGTAACCTCAGCCCTCCAGATGTTTTGGGACTACAACTCCCATCATCCCTAGCTAACAGGACCAGTGGTCAGGGATGAAGGGAGTTGTAGTCCCAAAACATCTGGAGGGCCGAGTTTGGCTATGCCCGGTCTAGAGGGCCACAGGTTATCCGTCTCTGGTCTAGAAGCTTCCTGGGCTCATAGAACGAGATTCATGGTACTTTGGAGCCTAGCCAGCTCCGAGGGGCTGGGGTCCCTTTGGCCCCTGCATAAAATATTTGAAGGGGCACCCCCCACAAGCTGATGGGCGTTGTCATTCAAATGGTGTGTGTGTGTGCCTCGCCTTATGTGGGGTGGAGCTTACCTGCCTCCCCATATTTTCTTCAAATTGCCACCCTTGCTAGCTAGAGTATTCAAAAGCCACTCTAATCAAACTAAGCCACTTCCTGTAAAGTTCTGTGAGTAGCTATTTCACTACCTGTTTCACCGACTTCCTGTTCTCAAAATCTTTATGGCTGTAAGTAACTTGCAGTGAGAAGATTCAACATTTCCTTATATAGTGCGCTCGGGCATGCGCGCACACACGTGCACATGAATGCCAACAGTGTACAAGAAAACACTCAGCAGAAGAAAGAGAGAAATGACCTTTTCATATCTGGTCAGTTGAGTTTAGTCTGAAATCCATTCCTGAATTGATGGCTGACCCACTTATTCATTTAAAAGAAATAGTTTCTCTATGTTATTTTGGGCTTCAGCTCCATTTGTAAAGTCCTCTACCCTTAATTTAGGACTCACTTGGCTTGAAAAATGAAGAACAACCTCCAAGTCATTTGATAGAACAAGATCAGCCAGGACCCCTGTGAATGGAGCTGTCTGTCTGCCTTTATGCATTTTAGGTAGAACAATAAAACAACCAATTATTTTGCCAGAGTTTTTTCCCCTTTTTTTGTTCCATGCAAATTGTGGATTTAGTTTTCTACATTCACAGCCTACAGTAAAAAAATGAATAAAAATGAACTCGTAAAATAAACCACATAAAACCCCCAAACTCTTCAACTCACCCGCCCCCCAATAGACATCAAATATGCATATGCATTTAATATAAGATGTAGTTTGGCCCCAAAACAATGGCATTTCAGACCCATTTTCAAGTGAGATTCTTGAACCAGAATTCCCCAAGCTTGTTAAAATATGAAAGGCTAACTTTTTCTGAAATTCTTTCAAATCCTTTTCTTTGGCACCACATGGGAAACACAAATCTGGATTCATGTCTACTGCAGCCTCCCCTGTCCCATGGGGCAATAAATACCACCTATGGTCACAGTAAATGGGTTAACTTGACGCTTCCCTGCCCCATTTCCCAGGGGTACAAGTCATTCATGGCTTAAGCCAAACCTCACCTCCTGGCACCAAGAACAAAAGGTTCCCATGAATGCAAAGCCAGCCAGAACAGGTCTTCAGGGGCTGAATGTCTGACAAACTAAAACATTCATCTGCTGATTGCCTTTGTCAGCACTTAGGAGACAATGTTTTAAACATTTACAGGTAACAGAATGCTGCCATTTCCAGTACATTTGCAGTAAAATCTACTCTCATCATTAATGTGGATGAGTTCTAGAGATGTTAAAATGTTGTTGACATTTCAGACATACCAATTCCAGTATTTCCAAGTGACATACATTTCTGGAATCTTTGAAAATAAAGTTCTGGTGTACCATGTTTTTGGCCTTCAGAGTTTTATGTGATTTCATATTTTGTTGCTTTGTTTAGGAAGAAATCTGGTTTTGACAAAAATAATAATTAATTATCAGAGTTGGAAGGCAGTTGAGCAAGCCTAAGACAGAAGGAAGGTTAACTAATACTAGTCTCACCAAATCCTTGGCGACGCCACTTATTCTTTCTCTCTATTGCAAGGATTATCCATTTATTCCTACCCTCTGTTTCTTGTTCTAGTTACTGATCCATAAGAGAATCCATACTATTATCCTATGGTTCAGGAGCCTTTGCTGCAGGATTTTGTTTTTTGAAACTCTTGAGTATATGCCTCTACCGGAGAAATTAACCTTACCCACATTTTTCAGGTTTTGTTGGCATCCACCTCAAAAGACAATGGAGTGCACCTACTAGTCAAACTACTAGAGCAGTGGTTTTCAACCAGTGTGCTGTGGCGTCCTGGGGTGCCTTGAATGATGGCCAGGGGTGCCGTGGGAAATCCTGGCATCTGTCCCTCTGTCCTTCCCTCCCTCCTCTGATGTCCTCTCACATCTCTGCCTCCCGAAGGCTTCCACTGCTGTTTGTTGCAGCAGCCCTGGCGAATGGTGCCTCTGGGGCTGGCCAGGGGGTGCTGGTTGCCAGGAGCTGAGGTTGCCTCGGAGCAAGTAAGCAAGTGGGTGAGGGAGCCCAGCCAGACAGTCCACCAGCCCTTGATGTTGGGAATGGACAGACAAGTCCCAGCCCCTGTGGGGCAGTGTGAGGAAGCACCTCTCTTTGGGGCAGTGGGGGCAGCTCAGAGACCAGGGGTGGCAGCAGTAGCTGCCCAGAGGACTCCCAAGGAGAGGAGAAGAGGCTGAGGGAACACTCCACAAAGGAGGGTGTTCGAAAAGGGGTGAGAGGCTGCCAGCTCTGCAGGCAAGGGGTGACATAACTGGGCTCCTGAGCCCCACAGGGTGCTGCAGAAAGGAGGTCAAGGGAGTCGTGGACTCAAAAAGCTTGAAAACCTCTGTACTGGAGAATCACAGTGCCAACTGTGGTTGCAGAGATGGGTAACTCATAACTGCTGCCTCCTGTGTTGCTTTTGCTGTGTTAGGAGCACCAAAGTGACATCTCTGGGTTGCATGCCTGGGCAGTGTGTACGGAGGACCTGGCCTGGCCAGAAGAAAAGACCCCCCCCCCTCGGCCTCACTGATGTGGTCCAAAGGAAAGCAGAGCAACACATTTGGCACCAGCTTGGCTGCAGCAGTTACCAGAAGTAGGTGTGCAAGACACCATCCAAATGTCTTAGGGACTCTATCCAGATTTGTGTAAGGTTTACTCCTTCGCCTCTTCTTCTCCTGAAGATGTCCTGCAAGGCAGCAGGTGTGGGTTTTCCTTTGGGGTTTATTCCCCAAGGCTTTCAGAAGCAGGGTAAATCTTTCTATAGTATTTATTGAAAATGGTTAATTTGGGTGTCCACCTCTTCCCCCCCCCAAAAAAAATTACCTGTCCCTGATCTTCTAGGAAAGGGAGTAAGAAAGTGTGGAAACTCTTGCGTGTCTTCAAGCCTCAGGCCTGCAGAAGTTTGCAATGACTTGCAAATGACCAAGAGTGAAAACTCCGTAAATTGTTTCACTGGATTAGATTGTTCTGACCCAGTAAAGCATTCTTAGACGTACAGGTTTATTAACGCTGTGTGTGTTTTAACCATTTGAAGGCCTTAGAAGGCATCCCTAATTTGAAAGGGCCTTTAAGATCAAACAACACTTGGTTTTGAAATTTCTTCAAAGAACCAAAACAGCCTGTCTGATTTCACTTCCCTGACAACAAATGCCTGGTATTGTCTTTGATATGCTGGCAGCTGCAGAAGTTTGAAGTTTTCTATTAAGACAAGCACTATTTACTTCCGTGGCACTTACACATAATAGAGCACTTTTGACTTCTATAAAGTGTGTGTTATTAAAGCACTTTGCTAATGTACCGAGGCTCTTTCGCAAAACAAGGTAAGATAGAAGCAACCCCTTTTCAAAATGTCTTTGGGAAATGAGATGAAAGTAGGGGGGAAAGGGGGGATTTAAGGGTGCAAAGCAGTTCTTTAACAATAAGAAGAGCTGTCTTAAAATGCCGCAATGCATGATTAAAGCCGTCACCTTTATACTTAGAAGTACTTTCATAAACATTTGTAACAATTTAAACATAGTCTGCCATTCTACCCTTTTCACACAAGGGCCCTTCACTTTAATGGCAACCTTTTAGATGAAGCCAAAGTAGAAAGAGGGAGAATAACATTTATGCTGCAGCCTTCATGGTATTCCTGACAAAAGTAAAACAGTGTCATCAAAAAGATAGAATGACACCATTCTCGTTCCCAGGTAACTGCTGTTGATCGTATTTACTGAAGGTTGCCATTTGCATCTCATGTCATCCCATTCCTGGAAATGACATGGTGCACGCATGGAAAGGGGAACTGGAATCACAAGGGGGACAAACTGTGACAAACTGTGTGGAGTGTCCTGTTGCGTGCTTCGCCAGCCAGCCAGGCCCCGCTCCAAGACATTCCACACCATTTGCCCTGCCCACCCAGTTTTCTGCATCACTCACAGACCCCTGCTGCCCGCAGCAAGCATTCCAGGCCATTTTTCATTTGACTGTTTGCAATAGTCGATACAGATTATTAAATAAGTGTTTTCAAAAAGTAACTCCGTTTAACAATTAAATGTTTTGTTTTCGTGCTGACTGGGCCAACCCTGCAGAATTAGTTCTATGGCTTGCAGGAGAGTAATACTACCTTCGATGCCTCTTCAAATCAGAACAGCCAGCGGCAGTCTGGAGCCCATACTGTTAAGAAAGAAGGACACAGCCCTTTGTCAGCAGCTTATAATTCAGAAGCAAATGTTGCCTTCCAGTGTGGTCCACTGCTGAAAGATGGTAAGGAGGTGATTGCGTATAGGATACCAGCAGTGCTATTTTTCTAGAAAAAGAGGTGCCGGAACTCCCCATGAACACCTCCCTCGTTCTCTTATAATGGCAATGACGTCCACCTGAGAAGTGCTGAAACTGAGATCCGGAGAGTTCCAGCTGAACAAAGCCCTGGATAGCTCAGTTGGTTAGAGCGTGGTACTGATAACACCAGGGTTGCAGGTTCGATCCCCGTATGGGGCAGCTGCATATTCCTGCATTGCAGGGGGTTGGACTAGATGACCCTCAGGGTCCCTTCCAACATGACAATTCTGCAATTCTATACTAGTCCTAGTGCTCCATTGTCACCTCTCTGTCTGGTAGTTGCTCTCCAAGGCCACCAGCAACAATCTTTGTCAGACCAGGGATTGAATCTGGAACCATGAGCTGAACCACTGAGCTATTGCCCCTTCCCTGTTGATCCAGAAAGAACACGACATTTTTCATACAAGGGAACCCTTCAGACTGCCCTCTCAAAAGATGGCAGGCACAAACATTTATTTTCTCTCAGCCATTCTGTCTATCAGCTGCTCTTTTTCTCTGATTCAGTTTTGATGTGTTTGGCTGCATTGTTGAATTTTGTATTAACTGGCAATTTTATGATTGTATGCAAACTGCATTGAGCACTGAAAAAGTTATGCTTGGAATAAAAACAAAAATAGCCATGTTAGTCTCTGCAGTAGCAAAATCACGAAGGAGTACTGTGCCACTTGAAAGACTGAAACATTTTTTATGGCTTTTGTAGACAAGAACAGACTTCATCAGAAGCATAAGATGGGAGTCAATCTTATAGGAAACCCTGCAAAGGCATAGTGGGGAGGAATGCTATTAATTTATTGAAATTTGCTTTTGGATTTAATCATAGAATTGTAGAGCTGGAAGGGACCACAAGGGTTATCTAGTCCAACCCCCTGCAATGCAAGAATCTCAACTGAAGCATTCATTACAGGTGGCAATCCAGATTCTGCTTTAAAACCCCAAGGAAGGAGAGACCACAACCTTCCAAGGGAGTCCACTCCACTGCCAAACAGCTTTACCATCAGAAAGTTCTTCCTGATGTTCAGTTGGAATCTCCTTTCTTGTAACTTGATTTCATTGGTTAGGGATCTACCCTCCAAAGCAGGGGGAAACAAGCTTTTTCCATGTTCCATATGACAGCCCTTGAGATACATAAAGATGGCTATTATATCTCCTCTCAGTCTCCTCTTTTCCAGGCTAAACATACCCAGCTCCTTCAACTGCTCCTCCTAAACAAGGCTTGGGTTTCCAGACCCATGTGCTTGGTTGCCCTCCTCTACACACGTTCCAGCTTGTCAATATCCTTCTTAAATTGTAGTGCCCAGAACTGAACACAGTATTTTGAATTTGGATTGTTTTCTGTGTCATTAGCTACCCCTCCCAGTTTTGTGTTATCTGCAAATTTGATGAGCATCCCCTCACTTCCTTCATCCAAGTCATATATAAAGACATTGAGCAACTACAGGCCCAGGACACAACCCTGTGGCACACCACTTGTCACATTTTTTTCCAGAGTTCTTTTACCTAATGAGTACTTTTTGGGTTTGGTCAGTCAACCAGCTGCAAATCCACCTAATACAGTGGTACCTCGGTTTACATACGCTTCAGGTTACATACGCTTCAGGTTACAGACTCCGCTAACCCAGAAATAGTACCTCGGGTTAAGAACTTTGCTTCAGGATGAGAACAGAAATCGTGCTCCGGTGGCGCGGTGGCAGCAGGAGGCCCCATTAGCTAAAGTGGTGCTTCAGGTTAAGAACAGTTTCAGGTTCAGAACGGACCTCCAGAACGAATTAAGTACTTAACCCGAGGTACCACTGTAATTACCTTGTCCATCTCCCTGTGGTAAATAATATTTACGGTGGCTTACAAAATAAAAAATATACAACAAATGGAACAATGGAACAATAATGGTTTTTAAAAAATCAGACACCAAACTAAATAAAGAATGAAAAATCTCAAGCTCCGAGTAAAAAACGCCCTCCTGAATAAAATAGTCTTAAAAGCCCATTTAAAAGCAAGCAAAGAAGAGGCTGATGAACCTCTCTTGGGACATTATTCCATAGTTTAGGTGTCACAGCTGAAACAACCCTCTATCTGCTGCCTGCCATTGGGAAATGCATGGAAATTTCAAGGAAGTAGATTTTGGCTAAACTGCAGAGGAAACTTTCACACTGTAAGAGCTGTTCAGCAATGGTTTGAATTAATATAAGGTTTCTTAAAGAAGAAGAAAAACAGAGAAAATTGTTGATTTGACTCATTCTCAAGATGCTTCAAATATCTGCTAATTCAGCAATCAGATTGCTATTTTGAGAGTGCTATTTGGTTCCTCTGAATACATGCATTATTTCATCCGGCTCAGTATTGTCTACATGGATTGGTAGCAGCTCTCCAGGGTTTCCTTCCCTAAGGTACACATAGGTCATCACAGCCTGGCAAGAACCCATGGACAGGAGGCTGGCAGAATATTTTCCTCTTGGCACCTGAAGAAACCAGGTTTTCCCTTCCTGGCTCATCTTCCATTCCAAGACCCTCTATGATTAAATCCTTCACACGAAGAGCAGAAGCAGTGATAGTCCCAAAAGCATGACAATGTCTGAAGGCTAAGCACTTGCCTGGCAACATGAAGTCTCCCTCCCCATGGCATCTGAGGGGAAAGCCCTGGCCTAAGTTTCCCCCCCCCCCCCCGAATCATTGCATCACTGGTGTTCTCAGAAGGTGCTTCCTAGGATGTCGCTGGTGCAGCCTTTCTTAACCTTGAGTCCCCAGATGTTGCCCGACCACAACTCCCATCATCCCTAGCTAGCAGTCCCAGTGGTCAGGGATGATGGGAGTTGTAGTCCAACAACATCTGGAGACCCAAGGTTAAGAAAGACTGGGCTCGTTGTTGTTTAGTCGTGTCGGACTCTTCGTGACCCCATGGACCAGAGCATGCCAGGCACTTCTGTCCTCCACTGCCTCCCACAGTTTGATCAAACTCATGCTGGTAGCTTCGAGAATACTGTCCAACCATCTCCTCCTCTGTCGTCCCCTTCTCCTTGTGCCCTCCATCTTTCCCAACATCAGGGTCTTTTCCAGGGAGTCTTCTCTTCTCATGAACTGGCCAAAGTCTTGGAGCCTCAGCTTCAGGATCTGTCCTTCCAGTGATCACTCAGGGCTGATTTCCTTCAGAATGGATAGGTTTGATCTTCTTGCAGTCCATGGAACTCTCAAGAGTCTCCTCCAGCACCATAATTCAAAAGCATCAATTCTTCGGCGATCAGCCTTCTTTATGGTCCAGCTCTCACTTCCATACATCACTACTGGGAAAACCATGGCTTTAACTATACGGACCTTTGTTGGCAAGGTGATGTCTCTGCTTTTTTAAGATGCTGTCTACTGGGCTAGTAGAACCCCTATATTGACCAACTCCTGGCCAGGTTCTACTATAATCCCAGGCACAACCCTGCTATGTGTCAGCCCTCCACCTGGAGGCTGAGAAGGGATGACAGATGACAGGATTGTGCCTGGGATTATGGGTCCTCCACAAGCTGCGCATCTACCAGGGTGGCCCCTCCAAGCCGCTGTAGGAAGCTCTATGACCCATCTGCCGCATGCCTTGCCTTTTGTACAGAGACTTCCAACTACGGTAGATCCGTCCAATGGCATACCCTGATATTGCACCTGTTTTGAGGTGGGGGAGATGCACCACTTCACCTCTGCCTGATATTAGACTAAAAGGATTCTACCCAATGCTTTATCTGCCACATGAGATGGCAAAGTTGCCAAACCAACCTACAGCTGCAACCAATCCTCAATGCCCCTCCACAAATCCCTCACTCATTTCCTGCAGGTGAGAAGTGCACACAATAAGTCCAATCTGCCAAATTTAATGTTCAGGTGCTGAATAACACAGCCTCCAAGGCACTCCATGGCTTGTCGTAAGGCCCTGTTAATTTTTACAAGGGCATAATTGATCCGGGCTGGTTTGTTTGTGCCTCACCACTGCTGACTGCTGAGCTTGGACCATATGATGACAGTGCCTGGATGTGCAGCATGCAGTCTCTCCAGGTCAGAGGTTGCTGTCAAGACAAGATTGACACTTTATTGGGTGAGCAGGTCATTCTCATCCAGCTGCAGTTCCAGAGGGTCACTTTCTCAATCTCGCCCTCCAACATAGGGATAAGGGCATCCTACTGCATACCCTGCTGTCCCATCCAGGTGAAATTCACTCTAGGCTGGAGATCCAGTTGCACATCCCAATGTGTTGCACCTGCATGCATTCGTGCCCAGTATACAATGCTATGGCCGCAAATCCAGATGTGCAAGGGGTACTTGAAAGAGAAGAGTTACAGAGACCGGTGGAGTGGACGAGGCCTGGGGCAAACATATCCTTTGTAGACTTCCAGACGCCACCGGCCCTATGCTTTGGTGCGTTTTGACATTCAAAGGCTGAAGTTGTGGCACCAACACAAAAAGAATGACCTGAAAAGTCACTAGGGTTACCACAGCATTCAAAAATGAATGCCCAGAGCAGCCTGACCTCATATTTTGACCAGTGGATGTCAGCCATTTTTTTCCCAGATAAACTGCAGAGCCTCACAGGTGACAGGCCTTTTTCTGGTAATGCCAGATTGATGTAAGATCGTGGTCTTTCTTGCCAGGCCCTTTTCCTTCAGGTGCACCAGGCATTGGAGCACATCTGACTCATTAGTTGGGTGGTCATGGAGCCACCCATTTTTTGCCTGGAATGACTTGAAGGCCCACCAGCAACAGGCCGCAACTGCCACCCACCCCAGGACTGGCCATTTTCCTTCCAAGACCCCCATTGCCTTTCAAACAGAAATGTAACAGGCAGAGAGAGAACCACCACGGAAGTGCAGTTCCTCCTGTTACTCCTCTCTGTCATGCCATTTTCAAGGGAATCGGTTTCCTACAGAAGCAAAAAGGCTGGCAGCCCCATTTCCATGGGATTCTGTCAGGACTCGCTCCACAACTAAATTCTTCAACAGTTGCTGAAGCAACTCTTGGAAGGCAGCTCTAAGTTTGCTTATTTGTGACTAAAGGCCGATACCCACCTTACATTTTGAACTTGGTTTTGAGACACAATCAACTTTAATTGGCACGTTGCATGCACAGCAACTGCCAGCGGAGCGAAATTGCTGGCTTCCCTTGCAGTCAAAACAGAGGCAGGGGTTTCGGTCCTT